CCTCCTCCTATTCAGTTCTCCTCAGTCCTCCTCTTTTTCAGTCCTCCTCCTCCTGGGTCCTCCTCCTCCTCCTGGGCCCTCCTCCTGGGTCATCCTGATCCTCCTCAGTCCTCTTTTTCCCCCCTCCTCAGTCCTCCTCCTACTCCTACTCCTCGTCCTCCTATTCAGTCCTCCTCCTCCCCAGTTCTCTTCAGTCCTCCTCCTTCTAAGTAGTCCTCAGTCCTCCTCCTCCTCAGTAGTCAGTCCTCCCCAGTCCCCCTCCTCGTCCTCCTATTCAGTCCTCGTCCTCCCCAGTTCTCTTCAGTCCTCCTTCTAAGTAGTCGTCAGTCCTCCTCCTCAGTCCTACTCCTCCTCCTCCCCCTCTTGGGTCCTCCTCCTAGGTCCTCCTCCTTCTCCTTCTCAGTCTTTCTCCTCCTTCCTCGCAGTCCTCCTCCTCCTCGTCCTCCCCTCTTCCCTCTCAGTCATCCTCCTCAGCCATCCTCCTCAGTCCTCATCCTCCTTCTCAGTCCTCCTCCTCATCCTTCTCCTTAGTCCTCCTCCTCCTCAGTCCTCCTCAGTCCTCCTCCTCAGTTCTCTTCAGTCCTCCTCCTTCTAAGTAGTCCTCAGTCCTCCTCCTCCTCAGTAGTCAGTCCTCCCCAGTCCCCCTCCTCGTCCTCCTATTCAGTCCTCGTCCTCCCCAGTTCTCTTCAGTCCTCCTTCTAAGTAGTCGTCAGTCCTCCTCCTCAGTCCTACTCCTCCTCCTCCCCCTCTTGGGTCCTCCTCCTAGGTCCTCCTCCTTCTCCTTCTCAGTCTTTCTCCTCCTTCCTCGCAGTCCTCCTCCTCCTCGTCCTCCCCTCTTCCCTCTCAGTCATCCTCCTCAGCCATCCTCCTCAGTCCTCATCCTCCTTCTCAGTCCTCCTCCTCATCCTTCTCCTTAGTCCTCCTCCTCCTCAGTCCCTCCTCAGTCCTCCTCCTCAGTCCTCCTCCCCAGTCCTCCCCTAGTCCCCCTCCTCCTCTTCCTATTGAGTTCTCCTCAGTCTTTCTCCTCCTCAGTCCTCCTCAGTCCTCCTCCTCAGTCCTCCTCAGTCTTCCTCCTCCTCCTCCTATTCAGTTCTCCTCAGTCCTCCTCTTTTTCAGTCCTCCTCCTCCTGGGTCCTCCTCCTCCTCCTGGGCCCTCCTCCTGGGTCATCCTGATCCTCCTCAGTCCTCTTTTTCCCCCCTCCTCAGTCCTCCTCCTACTCCTACTCCTCGTCCTCCTATTCAGTCCTCCTCCTCCCCAGTTCTCTTCAGTCCTCCTCCTTCTAAGTAGTCCTCAGTCCTCCTCCTCCTCAGTAGTCAGTCCTCCCCAGTCCCCCTCCTCGTCCTCCTATTCAGTCCTCGTCCTCCCCAGTTCTCTTCAGTCCTCCTTCTAAGTAGTCGTCAGTCCTCCTCCTCAGTCCTACTCCTCCTCCTCCCCCTCTTGGGTCCTCCTCCTAGGTCCTCCTCCTTCTCCTTCTCAGTCTTTCTCCTCCTTCCTCGCAGTCCTCCTCCTCCTCGTCCTCCCCTCTTCCCTCTCAGTCATCCTCCTCAGCCATCCTCCTCAGTCCTCATCCTCCTTCTCAGTCCTCCTCCTCATCCTTCTCCTTAGTCCTCCTCCTCCTCAGTCCTCCTCAGTCCTCCTCCTCCTCAGTCCTCCTCCCCAGTCCTCCCCTAGTCCCCCTCCTCCTCTTCCTATTGAGTTCTCCTCAGTCTTTCTCCTCCTCAGTCCTCCTCAGTCCTCCTCCTCAGTCCTCCTCAGTCTACCTCCTCCTCCTCCTATTCAGTTCTCCTCAGTCCTCCTCTTTTTCAGTCCTCCTCCTCCTGGGTCCTCCTCCTCCTCCTGGGCCCTCCTCCTGGGTCATCCTGATCCTCCTCAGTCCTCTTTTTCCCCCCTCCTCAGTCCTCCTCCTACTCCTACTCCTCGTCCTCCTATTCAGTCCTCCTCCTCCCCAGTTCTCTTCAGTCCTCCTCCTTCTAAGTAGTCCTCAGTCCTCCTCCTCCTCAGTAGTCAGTCCTCCCCAGTCCCCCCTCCTCGTCCTCCTATTCAGTCCTCGTCCTCCCCAGTTCTCTTCAGTCCTCCTTCTAAGTAGTCGTCAGTCCTCCTCCTCAGTCCTACTCCTCCTCCTCCCCCTCTTGGGTCCTCCTCCTAGGTCCTCCTCCTTCTCCTTCTCAGTCTTTCTCCTCCTTCCTCGCAGTCCTCCTCCTCCTCGTCCTCCCCTCTTCCCTCTCAGTCATCCTCCTCAGCCATCCTCCTCAGTCCTCATCCTCCTTCTCAGTCCTCCTCCTCATCCTTCTCCTTAGTCCTCCTCCTCCTCAGTCCTCCTCAGTCCTCCTCCTCAGTCCTCCTCCCCAGTCCTCCCCTAGTCCCCCTCCTCCTCTTCCTATTGAGTTCTCCTCAGTCTTTCTCCTCCTCAGTCCTCCTCCTCAGTCCTCCTCAGTCTACCTCCTCCTCCTCCTATTCAGTTCTCCTCAGTCCTCCTCTTTTTCAGTCCTTCTCCTCCTGGGTCCTCCTCCTCCTCCTGGGCCCTCCTCCTGGGTCATCCTGATCCTCCTCAGTCCTCTTTTTCCCCCCTCCTCAGTCCTCCTCCTACTCCTACTCCTCGTCCTCCTATTCAGTCCTCCTCCTCCCCAGTTCTCTTCAGTCCTCCTCCTTCTAAGTAGTCCTCAGTCCTCCTCCTCCTCAGTAGTCAGTCCTCCCCAGTCCCCCTCCTCGTCCTCCTATTCAGTCCTCGTCCTCCCCAGTTCTCTTCAGTCCTCCTTCTAAGTAGTCGTCAGTCCTCCTCCTCAGTCCTACTCCTCCTCCTCCCCCTCTTGGGTCCTCCTCCTAGGTCCTCCTCCTTCTCCTTCTCAGTCTTTCTCCTCCTTCCTCGCAGTCCTCCTCCTCCTCGTCCTCCCCTCTTCCCTCTCAGTCATCCTCCTCAGCCATCCTCCTCAGTCCTCATCCTCCTTCTCAGTCCTCCTCCTCATCCTTCTCCTTAGTCCTCCTCCTCCTCAGTCCTCCTCAGTCCTCCTCCTCAGTCCTCCTCCCCAGTCCTCCCCTAGTCCCCCTCCTCCTCTTCCTATTGAGTTCTCCTCAGTCTTTCTCCTCCTCAGTCCTCCTCAGTCCTCCTCCTCAGTCCTCCTCAGTCTACCTCCTCCTCCTCCTATTCAGTTCTCCTCAGTCCTCCTCTTTTTCAGTCCTCCTCCTCCTGGGTCCTCCTCCTCCTCCTGGGCCCTCCTCCTGGGTCATCCTGATCCTCCTCAGTCCTCTTTTTCCCCCCTCCTCAGTCCTCCTCCTACTCCTACTCCTCGTCCTCCTATTCAGTCCTCCTCCTCCCCAGTTCTCTTCAGTCCTCCTCCATCTAAGTAGTCCTCAGTCCTCCTCCTCCTTCTCAGTAGTCAGTCCTCCCCAGTCCCCCTCCTCGTCCTCCTATTCAGTCCTCGTCCTCCCCAGTTCTCTTCAGTCCTCCTTCTAAGTAGTCCTCAGTCCTCCTCCTCAGTCCTACTCCTCCTCCTCCCCCTCTTGGGTCCTCCTCCTAGGTCCTCCTCCTTCTCCTTCTCAGTCTTTCTCCTCCTTCCTCGCAGTCCTCCTCCTCCTCGTCCTCCTCTCTTCCCTCTCAGTCATCCTCCTCAGCCATCCTCCTCAGTCCTCCTCAGTCCTCATCCTCCTTCTCAGTCCTCCTCCTCATCCTTCTCCTTAGTCCTCCTCCTCCTCAGTCCTCCTCAGTCCTCCTCCTCAGTCCTCCTCCCCAGTCCTCCCCTAGTCCCCCTCCTCCTCCTATTGAGTTCTCCTCAGTCCTCCTCCTTCTCAGTCCTCCTCCTGGGTCCTACTCCTCCTCCTGGGTCCTCCTCCTGTGTCCTCCTTCTCCTCCTCAGTCCTCCTCCTCCTCATCAGTCCTCCTCCTCAGTCATCCTCCTCCTATTCACTCCTCCTCCTCCTCTTCATAAGTCCTCCTCCTCCTTCTCCTTCCTCCTCCTCCTCCTAGACTATTCTTAGTACCTAATTGAGGATTAAAAATTTGAGAAAGGACCATGGTCATTAATCGGGCTACCCATTTCTGCAGATAGCCTGTTACAAATTGTGGAGAAAATTTAAATAAAAAGTTGTCCGTTTTTGTCCGTTTGGTACCTACCTATATTTTCAAAACGGACAAAATTAACGGACAAAAAAGGACAAAAACGGACAAAAAATAACATGATCCCCCCCCCATAAATATCATCACGACGATTATTGGTCACTCGAAATCGACCCGTTAAGAATGCAATGTAAAGAAAATAAATCTTCGTTCTATTAGGGGTTAGTAATTGGATGTAACTACAGTACAGCTGTAAGCTCACCTGGTCCAAAGAGCGGGAAACGGAGTACGAGCTCTGGTGACGTCATAGTCACGTGACCTCAGGCTCATAATCACGTGACCTCAGACCCAATCAATTGGGTTCTGGCCTGTTCAGCCCCCTGTCACCCGATCTTGAGGTGCTGACGACAACTCGTTAACCCAATCGATGTCTGGAAGGCTGCAAATTTTCACATGCCAAACTCACAACGGTTTTTCGGAGTTGTGCAAGATGACGATACATAGAGGCCGCAGAATTATGAGGACTACCAGATCCTGGTGGAACCTAAGCGATCCATGATATCACGACAGGCCCTACGGTACTGCACTCAGATGGTTCAAAAGTTTCTTGTCAGGACGGTCACAGCGAATCAGACTAGGAAAAACTGTATCTGAGTCCATTACTATTAAATTCGGTGTCCCACAAGGATCTGATTTAGGCCCTGTGCATCTTTACATCCGATCTATCTATAAAACAGTTTGACGGATGTTACTCGTCTAAATTTCTTCGAAGTAGCGCGCGCCGCTTTCTTCTCGAAATGGCCTGATGGCAAGTGCTACGAAGTAGCGCGCGCCGGGCCAGACCATTAACAATGGTCAATAAAACAGTCCAAGCACTTGGATTTAAAATATTTGGCTATACATTATATATAGTTTTAATACTTTCAACACTACTACGGTATGTAACAAATAATTTGAGATTATGTGACTAATTAAATGCTGAAGATAAAAGAAATATATTCATTTTGCTAAGATTATGTTTGCGTTTCATTGCTCAACAGCTGTAAATTTATATACTGATGACCACCAAATCATTAAAAGTCCTTTAAAGCAGTTGAGCAGTGCAAATTCCTCTCCGTACAGCAGTGGCGTAACGTTGCCTGATGGCGCGCCCCTGCCGAAAAAAGCGCCCCCCTGTTGGCGCCCCCTCCCCTTTTGGTGCCCCTCCCTAAAATTGAACAAATTATGTGATTTTAAAGAATACGCCGGTAAAATCTCTAAAAAAGTGTGTATCTAGAGCAAAACGCACAATTTTGCTAGTACTTTAGTTAAGTTTTCGAAATTGTCCCACATTCAAACAACGATTTGGCGCCCCCCTAAGACGGCGCCCCCCTGCACAGCGGGGTTAGCAAGGCGGGGTGCAGCACATAACTCCGCCAATTTCCGTCTAACCCCGCACTTGCGGAATTAGGCGTGATTAGGCGGGATTACGCGGAATTACGCGGGATTTGGCGGGATTACGCGGGATTACGCGGGATTTGGCGGGATTTGGCGGGATTTGGCGGGATTAGCGGAATCGGACGAAAGGTAAAATTTTTCTCAAATTTTTGAAAATGTAAAATTTAAATGGTTGTTTTATTCCAACGACAAAAATCCAAATAATCTTTGGAGGCTCAAAATTCACGTATAAACATAATACCATTCTTTGCAACAGTGGCACAATGCTCTTCGCCTGATCTTGACCCTCGGAAATCTCGGAACTGAGCCGTTATTTTTCAAGCTATCTTCAACAGCAGCTACCCAGAGGGTTTTGTGATGATTCACCGACGTTGCTTTTAGTTCAGTAACCAAGAAGAAAAGCGTTGTTACCAAATTATCAGATCATAAAGATTTGTAACCGTTCTTTAAATCTAATTGCCCTGCGATCTACTTCAAGCGCTCACTTGGGTTATGTTATTCAAAGATTCAAAGCGTCAGTTGTGTTATTAAAAGCGTTAGATACGTTATTTCAAACTGTAATGCTAGAACGACTGTAGTAGGCATCATGTAGCCGGTGGGCCCGACATGATACGACATATCTTGACACGTCGGGGTTTGTCGGGGTTAGTCAGGGTTTGTCGGGGTTTGTCGGGGTTTGTCAGGGTTTGACGGGGTTTGACGGGGTTTCCGGTTTGTCGAGCCTGGAGGCTTTTTTTTTTTTTCTTTTTTTTGACTCTCCCAACAAAAAGCCGAGACGGAGTCATCAAGCTTTACGTGGAAAAACACTATACAAGAAGGCCTCATGTAGCCGGTGGGCCCTAGGCATAACCCCTCGACAAACCCCGTTTGTCGGGATATGTCGGGGTTTGTCGGGGTTTGTCGGGGTTTGACGGGGTTTGTCGGGGTTTGTCGGGGTTTGTCGAGCCTGGAGGCTACATGATGCCTTGTAGTTCATACCGTTCAATAATTCATCTTATGCTATGTAAATTTGCTTCATGCAGGCTATGTTAGGGGGGGGGGGGAGGCTCATATTTTTTGTCCGTTCGGTACCCTATATTTTCAAAACAGACAAAAAATAGAGCGGACTAAAACGGACAAAAAATAACAAAAATGGAAATAACATTTAGATGCTTCCTCCTCCTCCTCTTCCTCCTTCTCCTCCTCCTCCTCCTCCTCTTCCTCCTCCTCAGTCCTCCTCCTGGGTCCTCCTCCTGGGTCCTCCTCCTGGGTCCTCCTCCTGGGTCCTCCTCCTGGGTCCTCCTCCTGGATCCTCCTCCTGGGTCCTCCTCCTCCTTCTTCTCTTCAGTTCTTTACCTCCTCCTCTTCCTCAGTCTTCCTCCTCCCTGTCAGTCCTCCTCCTCAGTCAACCTCCTCAGCTATCCTCATCAGTCCTCCTCCTCATTCCTCCTCCTCAGTCCTCCTCCTCCCCTCCTCCTCCTCCCCCTCCTCCTCAGTCCTCCTCCTTTTCATCCTCCTCCTCTTCAGTCCTCAATCCTCCTCCTCAGTCCTCCTCCTCATCGTTCTCCTAAGTCCTCCTCCTCCTCCTCCACTTCCTCCTCTTCCAGCTTCCTCCTCCTCAGTCCTCCTCCTGGGTCCTCCTCCGATCCTGGGTCCTCCTCCTCAGTCCTCCTCCTCCTCCTCCTCCTCCTCTTCTTCCTCCTCAGTCCTCCTCCTGGGTCCTCTTCCTGGGTCCTCCTCTTTCTCCTCTTTAGTCCTTTACCTCCTCCTCCTCCTCAGTCAACCTCCTCAGCCATGCTCCTCAGTCCTTCTCCTCAGTCCTCCTCCTCAGTCCTCCTCCTCCTCCTCCTCCTCCTCTTCTTCCTCCTCAGTCCTCCTCCTGGGTCCTCTTCCTGGGTCCTCCTCTTTCTCCTCTTTAGTCCTTTACCTCCTCCTCCTCAGTCTTCCTCCTCCTCCTCCTCCCTGTCAGTCCTCGTCCTCAGTCAACCTCCTCAGTCCTCCTCCTCAGTCCTCCTCCTCCCCTCCTCCTCCCCCTCCTCATCAGTCCTCCTCCTTTTCATCCTCCTCCTCTTCAGTCCTCAGTCCTCCTCCTCAGTCCTCCTCCTCATCGTTCTCCTTAGTCCTCCTCCTCAGTCCTCCCCCAGTCCCCCTCCTCCTCCTATTCAGTCCTCCTCCTCCTCCTCAGTTCTCCTCAGTTCTCCTCCTTCTCAGTCCTCCTCAGTCCTCCTCCTCAGTCCTCCTCCTCCCCAGTCATCCTCCTCAGTCCTCCTGGGTCCTCCTCCTGGGTCCTCCTCCTGGGTCCTCCTCCTGGGTCATCCTGCCTGATCCTCCTCAGTCTTCTTCCTCCTCCCCTCCTTTTCATCCTCCCCCTCTTCAGTCCTCAGTCCTCCTCCTCAGTCCTCCCCAGTCCCCCTCCTCCTATTCAGTCCTCCTCCTCCTCCTCAGTTCTCCTCAGTCCTCCTCCTTCTCGGTCCTCCTCCTCCTCATCAATCCTCTTCACCAGTCCTCCTTCTCCTTCTCCTCCTCCTCCTCCTTAGTCCTCATCCTCCTTATCCACCTCCTTCCCCTCCTCATCATTCCTCATCAGTCGTCCTCCTCCGCCTCCCCTCCTCCTCCTCAGTCCTCCTCTTCAGTCCTCCTCCTCAGTCCTCATCCTCCTTCTCCTCAGTCCTCCTCAGTTTTACTCCTCCTCCTCCTCCCTCTCAGTCATCCTCCTCAGCCATCCCCCTCAGTCCTCCTCAGTCCTCCTCCTCCTCCTCAGTCCTCATCCTCCTCCTCAGTCCTCATCAGTCCCCCTCCTCAGTCCTCCTCCAGTCCCCCTCCTCCTCCTCATATTTAGTCCTCCTCCTCCTCAGTACTCCTCAGTCCTCCTTCTCAGTCCTCCTCCTCCTCAGTCCTCCTCCTCCTCAGTCAACCTCCTCAGTCCTCCTCCTGGGTCATCCTCCTGGGTCATCCAGATCCTCCTCAGTCCTCTTCCTCCTCCCCTCCTCAGTCATCTCCTCTTCAGTCCACCTCCTCCTCCTCTTCATCAATCCTCTTCACCAGTCCTCCTTCTCCTCCTCCTTCTCCTTAGTCCTCCTCATCCTCCTCATCCACCTCCTTCCCCTCCTCATCATTCCTCATCAGTCATCCTCCTCAGTCCTCCTCCGCCTCCCCTCCTCCTCCTCAGTCCCCCTCTTCAGTCCTACTCCTCAGTTCTCCTCAGTCCTTATCCTCCTTCTCCTCAGTCCTCCTCAGTTTTACTCCTCCCTCTCAGTCATCCTCCTCAGCCATCCTCCTCAGTCCTCCTCCTCCTCAGTCCTCATCTTCCTCGTCAGTCCTCCTCATATTTCTCCTTAGTCCTCCTCCCCCTCAGTTCTTCTGAGACTTCTCCTCAGTCCTCCTCAGGTTTACTCCTCCTCCTCCCTCTCAGTCATCCTCCTCAGCCATCCTCCTCAGTCCTCCTCCTCCTCAGTCCTCATCTTCCTCGTCAGTTCTCCTCATATTTCTCCTTAGTCCTCCTCCTCCTCAGTTCTCCTCAGTCCTCCTCCTTCTCAGTCCTCCTCCTCCTCCTCCTCAGTCCTCCTCCTCCTCCTGGGTCCTCTTCCTGGGTCATCCTGATCCTCCTTTGTCCTCTTCCTCCTCCCCTCCTCAGTCATCCTCCTACTCCTACTCCTCAGTCCTCCTCCTCATCAGTCCTCCTCATCCTCCTCATCCTCCTCATCCACCTCCTTCCCCTCCTCCTCAGTCCTCCTCCTCATCGTTCTCCTTAGTCCTCCTCTTCAGTCCTCCCCCAGTCCCCCTCCTCCTCCTATTCAGTCCTCCTCCTCCTCCTCAGTTCTCCTCAGTCCTCCTCCTTCTCAGTCCTCCTCAGTCTTCCTCCTCATCAGTCCTCCTCCTCCTCATCAATCCTCTTCACCAGTCCTCCTTCTCCTTCTCCTCCTCCTTCTCCTTAGTCCTCCTCATCCTCCTCATCCTCCTTATCCACCTCCTTCCCCTCATCCTCAGTCCTCCTCCTCCTCCTCCTTATCAGTCCTCCTCCTCCTCCTCATCAATCCCCTTCACCAGTCCTCTTTCTCCTCCTCCTTAGTCCTCCTCATCCTCCTCATCCACCTCCTTCCCCTCCTCACCAGTCATCAGTCATCCTCCTCAATCCTCCTCCGCCTCCCATCCTCTTCCTCAGTCCCCCTCTTCAGTCCTCCTCCTCAGTTCTCCTCCTCCTTCTTCTCAGTCTTCCTCAGTTTTACTCCTCCTCCTCCTCCTCCTCCCTCTCATTCATCATCCTCAGCCATCCTCCTCAGTCCTCCTCCTCCTCCTCAGTCCTCATCCTCAGTCCTCATCCTCCTCCTCATCCTCCTCCTCAGTCCTCATCCTCAGTCATCCTCATCAGTCCTCCTCCTATATCCTCCTCCTGGGTCATCCTGATCATCCTCCTCCTCATCAATCCTTTTCACCAGTCCTCTTTCTTCTCCTCCTTCTCCTTAGTCCTCCTCATCCTCCTCATCCACCTCCTTCTCCTCATCATTCCTCATCAGTCATCCTCCTCAGTCCTCCTCCGCCTCCCCTCCTCCTCCTCAGTCTCCCTCTTCAGTCCTCTTCCTCATCTTTCTCCTCAGTCCTCCTCCTCATCTTTCTCCTCAGTCCTCCTCCTCCTCCTCAGTCCTTCTCATCTTACACCTCCTCCTCAGGTTTCCTCCTCCTCCTCAGTCCTCCCCCAGCCACCCTCATCCTCATCCTCAGTCCTCCTCCTGCTCCTCCTCCTGCTCCTCCTCCTGGGTCCTCCTCCTGGGTCCTCCTTCTCCTCCTCAGTCCTTCTCCTCCTCCTCCTCTGTCCTCCTCCTCATCGGTCCTTCTCCTCAGTTATCCTCCTCCTGGGTCCTCCTCCTCTTTAGTCCTTCTCCTCCTCCTCCTCCTCCTCAGTCCGCCTCCTTCTCCTCACCAGTCCTCCTCAGTCCTCCTTCTCCTCCTCCTCAGTTCTCTTCATCCACCTCCTTCTCCTCCTCATCAGTCCTCCTCCTCAGTCCTCCTCCTCAGTCCTCCTCCTCAGTCCTCCCCCTCCTCCTCAGTCCTCCTCCTTAGTCCTCCTCCTCCTCCTCCTCCTCTTTTCTCAATTATGATCATCTTTTGTAATCAGTTCAATGATAATACATCTTAGTAAACTTCCGGTTTTGAAAATCTGGTGGCAATACTTGCAATCGATATCTCCTTTCAAGATGAACTTTGAAAGGTCCGCTACTGCAACTACTCAACTACTCAACTACTCTGTAGGAATATTTCAGGGATCCAATATAAATGTGGCCTTTACCAAATGAGCAACTAATGTTTTCCTGTCGAAGTATGGAAACTTCTATCTATGCTATTTACGAAAACTAAAGTGCAAAATTTGGTTATTAACAAAACCATTTCGTATTGTTAAAAACAGATCGAGTTTCGTATTTATGCTTTGATGAGTAAAATTTGTGACATAAAAAAATTAACTTTATTTTTATCGGCGGGATTACGTGGAATTTGGCGGGATTACGTGGAATTTGGCGGGATTACGCGGAATTACGCGGGATTTGGCGGGATTACGCGGGATTTGGCGGGATTACGCGGGATTTGGCGGGATTTGGCGGGATTACGCGGGATTTGGCGGGATTACGCAGGATTTGGCGGGATTGCGCGGGATTTGGCGGGATTACGCGGGATTTGGCGGGATTACGCGGGATTTGGCGGGATAACGCGGGATTTGGCGGGATTTGGCGGGATTAGCGGGATTGGCGGGGTGAGGTGTTGCACCCCGCCTTTAGCAGGGCCTTTCGTTACGCCACTGCCATACAGGTTGAACAGTGTTTTACTGTTATAAAGAGATGGATGAACAGGTTCTTCCTTCAGCTTAATGATAGCAAGACACAGATTATTGTTGTTGGGTCAAGCAAGGTGTTGTCACTGAACTTGCAGTCAATAGAGCTGCATGGGACAAATCTTGGGACTGGTTATACCATTTGTTTCATCTCAACGGTGAAAAATCTTGGGATATATATTATATAGACAATCGACTATCCTTTGATAACCATGTATAAGACTTATCTGTTCAGTTTATCAACTCATGATTTGGAAAAACTTTATTCATAAACTCGAGACTCTAGGTTACTGAGTTTTATTATTATATCGCGTATTGCCAGGAAGGCTGTTAATTTAGGATAGAGTTTTTGTGGCACTTATCTCAGTTTGTTCTTTTGTAGTTGTTCTCACACTGCTGAGTAAAAGTTTTACAACTTAAAAGCAGTGTTTATAATTCAATTTATTATATCGGTTCTCAATAAGAGGTCACGACTGCCTAGGCATCAAACCTTGGCAATCGGTAATTTTCCTCTGGCCCGGAGTCAGCTGACCCTAGGGACCAGAGGATAAAGGCGTAGAGACTGTGTGTATCTACAAAAGTGGTTGTTTTTACAAGAGACAGGGCTTGCAACACAAGGGAAGAAAAACGGGAGAAACAAACACAAAATGCATATTAAATGACTTAGCAAATAGAAATACAAACAATCCTACACTACAATAAATGTTTATCACATAATTATAATATGTTGTATAAACAAGAAACAGGGCTTGCAGGGCAAGAGATTTTTTTTTGTTGAAATAAAGGGACACATAAGAGCTGGCCACAGAGTGTATAATACAGTAATTCAGCAAACACCTATTACTACTACTGAAAACTGAATCACAAATTATCACAATAATAACAAGAATATACGAAATACTAAACACAATATTTATACAAGAAACAGGGCTTGCAGAATGCAGAGCAAGGGAAGAAAAACAAGAGAAATAACTGTAACAATTGTATATCACAAAGTCCAGACAATAATAATCTTTACACAAATCTGGGAGTAATTTCAATACAGTATACTTAATAAATACAATATAACTTTCCGATATGTACATTGATATGAGTTAAAAGTTGAATAAACAAGAGACAGGGCTTGCGGAGCAAGGGAGGAGATAAAAGAGGACCAGGCAAAAAGTATATAGGGTAGGAGGGGGTAAAACGGACCAATATTTTAGTTTTTGAAACTTCCTGCCTCAACAGAAGGACTTGGTTGAAGAATGTTACATGCCATTTACCAGTTGGACCTTTGTCTAAATTGGTAGGTATACAGTAAAATTTGAGTGTAACGTTTAGTAGGTGTACCACCCATTCCAAAAAAATTAGTCAGCTGGTCCGATTTACCCCATGCATGGGGTAAAACGGACCAACACATAACTCCACATTCTTTGTTAATCTAGATTTGTTAATACATTTAAGGCACTTGGGGCTAAGTCCTAAACAATATTCAATACAAATTTCTGTTCTTCAACTTTTCTAACCAAGAAAACCACGCCCTTGGTCCGTTTTACCCCAAAAAAAATTCACAATTTTTTGTCGTGTAGATTGCTTTTACGAGCCATAATTGCAAATATATGCCTAGTTCTCACATTCTATGACCTTTTTTTCATAGTAATTGCCTAAATAAAGTAATTCTTTAGTAATTGTAAAAATGGTCCGTTTTCCCCCATTTTGATAAGGGTAGATCTGTTTGGTCAAGATAGCTTGTCTAAATCAATAAAAGCACTTTCTAAGAGATGATTGAACTGGTAAATTAAAAAGTTAAATAAGACCCCACTTCAATCGGCACTACCACATCTTCATCCTCACAATCACCAGTGCTAAGGTCATCAGAATCTACGACGGGGCAGTTATCTTCTGCAGAGTCACTACTAAGTAATATCTTCTTCTTTAGAGCAGCCTTGGGCTATTACAGTACAGAATAAACTAAAACTGAAAGAAGAGCTACGGTGTATTAAACACTCAATTAGATGTCCAAGACCATCCTGAGAATTCTGGCTGGTCCAAGCAGAGCTGTCTTCTGAAGATTAGAGATGCTCAGATTGCAGTGGACTGCATCTAGGTGCTTACGAAAGTTCATGGCGACAGTTCCTAAAGCGCCTACCACCACTGGGACAATTGTAACCTTTCGTAAATTCCAGTTCTTCTTAATCTCTCTTTTTAGGTCTTGATAAGCTAGTATCCTGTCTTGCTCTCTATCCAAGATCCGGGTATCTCCTGGGACTGCAACGTCGATGATGGTTGCTGCGTTGGTTACCTTGTCTACTAGGAGGAGATCCGGTCTGCAGTGCTCGATAACGTGGTCTGACTGGATGTGAAAGTCCCACAATAGCTTGACTTTTTCGTTCTCCAACACCTTCTCTGCTCGGTGTTCGTACCACTTTTTACTGCGTGGGAAGCCGTATTCCTTGCACAGACTCCAGTGCAACGCGGCAGCTACTTTGTCATGCCGGTCACACTTATATTCTGTCTGTGCAAGTTTTGGGCACCCATTCAGTATGTGATCTATTGTCTCATAATGATTTCTGCAGAGTCTGCAGAGTGGAGAAGAGCCAGGTGTTTTGTCAATCTTATTCTTCACATAGTTAGTCCTAATATAAGTGCTTGGTCTTGGGCTGCTATCAACAATCCTTCTGTCTCCTTCTTCAAGTCTTGTTGAGTGAGCCAGTTCCAGTTTATTATTATTATTATTATTAAGAATTTGGTAAATTTCTTAATTGTATGACTATTTCCATTGTTGAGACGTCCATACAAAACTTTTACTAGGTTGCCGTTTGGTGTGAGCAATAGCAAACAGCACGCACACTCCTTTGCCCCGTCAACCTATGTCTAATCTATCCAAAGAGTGACAACCATACTACACATTGAATTAGGATTCCTTTAAATATCAAATTGATTTATTTTAAACTTGTTTATTCTGTAATAAATGGCATAAAATTGAAATTTTTGTTTAACTGAAATTTTTGTTTAACTGAATCCAAATTTAAACTAATTACAACACTACAAATCTATTACATTTATTGAGGTATGACCAAAATGACCAACATGACAAAAATGTAATGTAATTGGAGGTATCAAATCTATTCAATCAACTTCAATCAACTTCAATCGACTTCAATCAATCTATTTATCTACAACCAACTCAACCAACTCAAAATCATGAACGATTCATTGGAAACATTTTTCGGCAAATTATTGATGGAATGTGATACAAAATGTACACACTGTTCAGATCTTGAAACTCGCGTGAAGTTTCTGGAGCGTAAAGTGTTCATTTTAGAGGAGATTGTTCAAACCTCACAAACAATAGCAGAGATTAATGAAACTATTTCGCCTCTAAGTGGAAACCAATCAATTGCTCAATACAAGTGTTTCGATGTATCAGTGCAAACGGACTCCAGCAACAATAACATTCAGTATGACAATGAATGTGAGGTACCAGAATCATTTTTGTTGATTGATGATGATGGCTATGTAGAAGCACCTCTATCAATTATTTCTAACAACATAGACATTTCAACCAGCGAGATTACAGACACTGGCTCAGTTATTCCAAGAAGTGGTGAATATTATGCAGGATTAGATTTAACACCTGTGTCAAGTTCAGACCTTACTACAGACTATGAAATCCCTGATATCGCCATCACACCTGTTGAACTTATTGAACAGGCACCATTCAGCAAATTTTCTGTTGAAATCTTATTTGAGGAATTAAAGTTCAGCCACCACTTCCATAACAGGAAATCAGTCTACTTTGGGAAACATCCTTACGTGTACAGTGGAGGAATGCATGACCCAAAGAAGATCCCCCAGGGATCTTACATGGCAAGTATATGTTCCTTTCTAGATGAGCTATTCCCAGAATACAACTACAACAGTGTTCTGGTCAATCTCTATGAATCTGGAGAGGAACATATGCCTGCTCATAGTGACAATGAAGAATTTATTGAAGAAAATTCGTACATTGTAACAGTGTCCCTTGGTGCTTCCAGGATGATGCAGTTGACTGAAATCAAAACAGGACAAGCTAAGTGGTGACTTCCCTAATTTTAGAACATGGAGATGTATGTCTTATGTCCAAAAAGTCCCAACATCAATTCAACCATGAACTATGTCCCGATCCACTATGCACAGACAAAAGGATCAGTTTAACTTTTAGACTTATCAAACCAGTTGTCTGCAGTCAACCAAGAAAATCACCTTCTACAGCTAGTGGATATGTACCCTACAACGAAAGTGAATTTGAAGTCCACCATTCCAGAGTTAAGAGTTCAGCCAAGTCAACTGCAGCGCCTCCTTCACCTGAACAGATCCCAAGTGACCTGCCAATTGATACCATCTACATCAGCAGCAGTATGTTCAGGGACCTCAACGGAACTCTACTAAGTTCGAGGAAGCAGAAAGCTAAGGTGTTCTTCTACCCTGGAGCGAACTCTGCTCAAATGTTAAATAGGCTGTTACATGATGAGGAGTTCAAAAAACTGGACAAAAAGGATGTAAAGCGTGTTTTCATACTAACAGGTACAAACTACGTAGATTCTGTCTGTAACAATTATATTTCTATGAAAAATGCAACAGAAGGAATTGATCAAATACTTAGTATACTTTGGGGAATGTTTATTGGAGCAAGAATTTCAGTTATAAATATTTTACCTAGGAACAGTTATAACAAAAATGAAGTTATCAACGAATTAAATAGGTTTATTTCTAACACCTGCTCTAGCCATGGGTTAAATTATATAGATTTAGAACGTAATAATAGACTATTTACCAGCCGAGTTACTGGAGTAAGGAAACAGGTATTTTTCAAAAAGGGAATAGATAATGTTCACCTTAATATCAAGGGAATCGCCAGGTTGGCGAAACATTTAAAATATTTATCCCACAATGAGCAAACTTAGTCTCTCCATTCAGATTGTAGAAAGTTCTGTAGTTAAATGAGTATTTGATACTTTTATCAAAGAATCACATTTTAAATTATTAAGTCACAAATAAATCAGCATGACATAAAACTAAATGTCATGAATTTTATTTAAATTGCTTGAAGAAGAAACGTATAGATTTGTCCTCCTTTTAACTTTATTATTACCACATTCGTACCTCAATAAACGATAATCTCTCTCTTGGTCTATGTAATATACAGGGTGGCCTGACTAATCTGGCAAAAACTCTTGAACTACAGGAGCTAATATTTCGCGAAAAGCTTGACATAATTGGAATTAATGAGACAAACCTTAAATCTGATATAGACACTAGTACACTTAACTTCCCCTTAAACTTTGATTTTATAAGGTGTGATAGACTTAACGATAGAGGAAGAGGAGGGTGTGGTATATTGATCAACCAAAATGTAAACCACAAATTACTCAATTTAGATATAACTTACTCTGATATTTCTAAAATCGAAGCTATATGGATACAACTCAAGGATGCCAATCTTTACATTTGCTGCTTCTACAGATCACAAAACTTTTGTCACCTAGATACTTTCCTTGATTATATGACTGAATGTATGATGAAACTTCAAGGTAAGAAAGTAATATGGATTGGCGATGTTAATGTTAACCAAAACTCTTTATCTGATCTAGATTATAAAAAGTTAGATATAACAATGAAGCTCTTTGGAATGATACAGACTGTTACAGGAATTACTAGAGTTGCAAACTTAGATGGTAGGATAACGCAGAGCACAATAGATGTTGTCATGACTAACTGTTACTCTAATTTCATAGAGTGTAAAGTACTTGATGATAGAATAGGAGATCACCAAGCTCTCAAATGTGTTCTCGACTTTAAAGTAAGTAAAGCTAGTAAATTCCAGAAGGTTCTTATCAGAGACCACTCCTTAAACAATCTGAAAGCCTTAAGCTATTTTCTGGGATCCTGCAGCAACTACAGTAATATCCTAAGCTGTACTAATGTAGACCATGCCCTAGATGGACTTAATCATCACATCCAGGAATCGTATGATAATTACTGTCCACCTAAACAGATAAAATGTAATAGTAACTTTCTCTGTAATCCCTCTAAAGAACTGTTGGCAGAAATACGGAAGAAGAAGATGCTTTTCAGAAAGTATAAAAAGTGTTTAGGACAATTAAACAAATTCAAGTGTAATTGTATTAATGGAATATGTAAATGCAGAAAAAGTGAACTACATAAGAAATGCTCTACTTCGTGGGATAACTATCGTCCCCAAAGAAACTATGTGACAAAATTATCCAAAGAAAACAGACGTACAAATATTGTTCAGGACCTTACTGTGAAAAGTGCAAAAAACGATTTAAAAGGCATTTGGAAAACTATCAAACATGCTTCAAACTTACCTGGAAAAATAAGTAGCTCTTCCCCAAGCAACTTAAATGTTAACGGAGTTAACCTGCATTTTGCCACAGTTGGTACAATAATACAAGAATCGATTAAGGAAAAGGATTCAGACGACTTCCTAGAATATATGCCGCCTCCAACAGAGTGTAAACTCTCTGTATTCGAAGAGGTGACTGTTGAACAAGTAAAAGAATATATACTCAGTATACCATCAGATAAATCGATTAACGATATCATGCCCATTAAAATATATAAGTATATTATTCCCCAAATCATCGATCCAGTAGCTCATATTATAAACCTTAGTATGAAAAGTGGAACAATGCCGTTGGCATGTAAAATTGCATCAGTCACTCCAATTCTTAAAACTGGTGACCCTAATGATCCAAATAACTACCGGCCAATATCCATACTCCCCCTACTTGGAAAATGCATAGAATATTTTGTTAACCAACAGCTTACAGAGTATGTTGAAACAAATAAACTGCTTACCAACCATCAGTATGGTTTTAGAAAAGATCATTCCACCACTTTTCTAATGCTTAATCTATTTGATAAAATATTTACGTCTAAGGAATCACAGAAGAAACCTGCAATTGTATTCTTAGATATCAAAAAGGCCTTTGACACAGTAAGCCATAATATTTTATTAAAAAAACTTAAGTATTATGGAGTTGATGGCTTTGTCATAAAGTGGTTCAAAAGCTACCTGGGGGACAGAAAGCAACACACCAAAATACGTGGTAATGTAAGCACATCACTCCCTGTTAAAACAGGTGTGCCACAGGGTAGCATATTAGGACCAATTCTATTTAGTTTATTCATAAATGATCTCAGTAGAAATTGCACACAATCTACTGTTTACTTATTTGCAGATGACAGTGCACTATATTTTGATAACATTTCCCGAGGCATATATGAGAATGTAATTAAGGATATGAAAATTGTGTATGAATGGCTTAGAATCAACAAGCTGAGACTAAATGCTGCAAAATCTTCATTCATTGTATTTGATAGATCACCTAATCTGGACACGTTGTCAATCCCTCTGGATTTGGAAAAAGAATGCCTATTTATAGAAGAAACTAAATCTCAAAAATATTTAGGTCTCATGATAGACAATTTATTGAACTTTCATGACCATATTGATTATGTGAAATCAAAAATTGCTAAAAGAATAGGGGCATTATACAGGTCGAAAAATCTTCTTCCACTGAAATATAGAAAAATGTTTGTAAATGCTCTTATGCTCCCCCAATTTGACTACCTGGATATAATATGGTGCAGGGCTGCCAAAACCAAACTTAATTCTCTTGATATATTATACAAGAAAGTAGCAAAAATTGCTCTGGATGTTCATTGGCAGGAACCATCAGTAAATGTATATCGAAATATGAAGTGGTTACCCTTACACTTAAGAAGACAACTCCATCTGTCAACGTATATGTATAAAATTCTTAATGAGGCTGCACCATCATCATTCACAGATAAATTTTCTTATGTATCCGGAGGATCACGTGATGCTGAGAGGTGCAACCTTTATATTCACAAATCCAGAACACACAAAACCTTTACATATTTAGGTGCAAAATGTTGGAATACAATTCCAGAGAACATAAGGACTATAGAATGTAGTGTAAAATTCTCACAATGTATGAAATCTAAATTTATGTCAGATGTAATTCAAGGAGTCTCATCCTATGAAATAAACAATAGTTTCGACTATTTCTACACTCTAGCTATGTGACAACTGAAACAAATTTTATGGGTCTGGAGTTTTTGTCGGGTGGAAAGGCCCCCTGCGTTATATATGACCTAGGTATTTCCAGAAGTATAGAACTTTAAACATCTCCTTTATTCGTTCCCATTTTTTATCATTGCCAATCTATTATTGTTCTATACTTCTCTGTATATAACTGTAAATAACATTACTAACGTAATCCCAAAGTGGGCATCTAAGTAATCTTAATTGTTACCTTCATGCCCACAGTTCACTGTTAAATCATATCTTATTTTATCACTCATTATTTTATTACTCATTATGTTTACATACATACTATATCCTTATGTCCCTAGAAGGGTGTTCTGCTAACAGTTTTCGACTGACTTGAATGTCCTGCACAGCAGATTGAAGCTTCTTAAATTATTTTTATTCTTATTGTATTGCTGTGTAAATTTGATTCTAATTCTAATTCTAATTCTAAATATCATGAGGTTTCTACTCATATCTTTTGCAATGTCTTTCACAGCTGTTTTAATCTTCTTCGAGTTGATTGATTCAACAGTAGACTTCTTAACAGCCTCACTGTAAGATTTCAGTTCTTTCTTCAGGAATGTAGTGTTTGAATATCAGATTGAAGAATATCTATCTGTTCCCTTTTGCTAACCAGTTGCTCACTCTGGACATCAGCTAGTTGCATGCATCGCTTCCTATTTCAAGGAATCTACTTGTAAACATCTACTTTTCAAAATCAAATCTAGCAAACAATTGAACAGAAACGATGACAGTTCCTTTTTCGTTCCTCCATTCGTAAATAGTAAATACCAGCTCTTCAGTGAACAGAATATGTACTCTTCTTCTGATTGGTCCGCGTCGACTAAGCCTTCCTTTTGATGGCTTTCACAACACGTCCCCATTCTCCAACTCCTGCTGCTGAAGAGACTTCCAAATTATATGCCATAACTATATTAAATATAGATATCGACAACAGACTCCAAGAGTCTAGAAGTTCTGTTACCACCGCCCCTGGTGCCACCCCGCACCGGCGGGGTTAATGACGTGGAGACAGGAACTTCCAGGGACGGTCAGTTCCTAACATTCTGCAAGTAATCCTAGGTGTGTTAGTGGTTAATAGGATCGTCAAAAAGATCCTCCCTTAATAGACGATTGGTTGCTTCGATATATTTTATAACCTTTTTATTCTAGCTTTTTATTCTAGCTGTGAATATGTCTTCCCAGGTCAGAAATATACTACCAAAAATTCTCAACCTAATGGTCATGTATACTATACAGTGACACATGAAGTGTTCTGAGGTTTCTTCTTCTTCTGGACAGTGTTCACAATGAGGAGATGTGAAATTGTTTGCCTTGTATTGGAAGAAGGCCAGGGGGCTATGTCCTGTGAACAACCAGGTTATCCACCTTGATGATTTCTTGCGAATCCAAGATTCCTGTACTTATATTTGGTGAGTAGGATTGTGAGAGGGATCTTCCCCTTCTCACTTAGTGCCATGTTTCTGTATCTGCTGAGATGGATTCCGTGTAAGTATTCCTTTACTGCCGTCTTAATTGTTCCTTCAGATATACTTCAACAGTATCATTGATTTAATGATGTGAAGTGTGGAGTATGTGAACAGTACATAATTGTGCTTAGACATGAGTTGACAAACTCAACACTTCTTCTCGTCTCTACCTATTTTCACTAGTTTGATTTCTGTTTATCATGTCATTTTGTTATACCTCAATAAATGTGATAGATTTGTAGCGTTTTTTATATTTTTAATTATGCCTGATATCCTGTGATGTATTCTATTTAAACATAATATTTCATTGTTTGCAGGCATGTCGATGTCTCACATACAAAAAGGTACATCACCCATGTACTCAACGACTGCTTTTCAGTTTCAGCCAATATCAGTGAGTTTTCTGATTTAAATAAACCATAGGACTACATAAGTACAGTAAAACCCCGATTTACTGCGGAGTTTGGGGAAGGAAAACATCCGTGGTAAATCGAGGTTTACGGTAAATCGGGGTTTTTTGTTTACTTTGTGCATTTAAGCCCTATTGGGGGAAAAGAAATAGCCGCGGTAAATCGGGGTGCGCAGTTAATCAGGGTTTTACTGTACTAATAATATCATAAATCAGCAATAGACCTTGGAAGCTCATCAGTTCTAATGGCACACTCTCGATCACCATGAAGAAAATTTCAAAATGTCTAGAATGCCAAGATATCGGAGTGGATTTGCCAAAATTTGCAATTTTACAAGTTTTGGGGTGTAATTTCAAACAAATCCCAAAGAGGGTGTAGTCACTGTGATGTAGGGAGGAAGAATCTGGGCAAGTTTCTGGAAAATATATGTTCTAAGGTGTAAATTCTACTATCGAGAAATACAATTTTTAACAGGATTTTATTGTGTCAATTGTTATTGAACTACAAGGGACACAGCACCCAGAAGAGGTGAAATTGGGTAATGATATGTGACTCCTTTAGAATTACATATGCTTTCACAATATCATCTAACCAAAGCCCTTTTCTTAATTCTGTTGACTGCAAGTCTGTTCCTGTAACATAATCCTATGTGTGAATTAACGAGAGGAGATTATCCATAATTACATAACGATTATAACTCTGCTAATGACTTATAATGATCATGTTACAGCTGCAACCAGTATTGGAAGAGTACAAATTAACAACAGACGAACTGATCATACACGACAACTGTCACCATGACAACCGTCACCATGACGAACTGACCATACAAGACACCTCCTGTCGAAATGTCGTCTGTCACCCTGACGACCATGACAATTCCCAGTATTATAGTTTTGAGGATAGTGCTCTGCACTGTGATGACACTTTTGACGAAATTGAAGTAGACAGTAACATCATTTCAGACTGTGTTAGCTTTTTTTTTCTTAATAGTGCTCACTTCTATGCTCAACTACACAATGTATAATAGTCATATCATTTGGTGATCTTCTCTCTGTACAATGACTGTCAAATGGAACATTGGAACAGTTGATTTAAAATATCAACATTTAGATAGACAATAGACATGCTGTGCCGCAGTTGAGTTAAAATGTTGGCAAATTTCCATTCAAAATTAAAATTGAGCGAGTTGGACTAACATATGTACGTGTCTATTGTCCGTAGTATATACGATAAAATTGTTGACACTCTTTTATCTTCAGAAACAGAGTACAGTGTCCCTGTATGAAGACGATGAAGAGTCAGAGAGAAAGCCTCTAACTTCATCCTCCCAGGGGCTGCAAACTACACATCATGCAACAGCTATGGGCACCAGGTTTGTCTTGTCAGTATAATTTAGTGCTAGGAAGAAATAAAATTAGCTGTATCGTAGGTCATCTGTGCGCCATTTAACGAAAAAGGTCGTCGAATATGTATGTTATTGTCATATGTAGTATGTACCGGGTGGCGGGTACCCATCCTATCATGTCGACTGGACACTTAAAAAGTTGGTCAAACACAGAAGCAAGGGGTCCATATTTACTGCGTTACATGTTTATAGCGTGACAATGTGAACATTTCCGTGCCGGCCGTATTTAACCGATATCTTAACACCTGATTAGGATATCGTTATGTGACAAAGTTTGCCTAGAGGATGAGATGATTATCCTAACCATGAAAGGTTTACAAAATTTCTCCAACACAAGTCCTCGAACAAAACTTTATTGGGAATAAGTTAGTTATGACGGCTGCCAGACTTTGGGTAAGGAGTAATATGACCACCATATACGTCATCAAGTAATTAACATGCAAGCTTGAAGCACCGTCTAGCCCATTTCTAGTTCAATTATATTCAATCGACATGGATCACATCACTAATTATACGTCACTAATTGGTGACGTGATCTGACCCCTCTTGGGGGCCAGACAAATTAAAAACTTTCAGTTTTTCAGGAATGCTCTAAATAAAAACATTAAGTGCCAGCTGCACTGCCTATCCTGTGTAGTGTGTATGAGTCTATTCTGTGTATTATTTTCAGATATAAAGCACCATTCTCTGCTGTGACGTCATCACTACGTCCCTCTGATCCGCGGATACTGAGCAAGGGTAATGAGGTGGACGAGTTTGGTTTTGTTGCACTTCCTAAAGAAACTTCATATCATGTGAGTTAAATTGACTGGTAGAATTGATTGTAACAAGTTTCAAAGTAACAGTAAGACAAATGGCTCAATCCTCTCCAAGAATGTCAAATTTCCGCTCTTTGTAACCCATAATATAGAGACAACTTGGCAAGGCTCCAAAAAATAATCAAAAAACGAAATTCGGCTGATTTTAATGATTTTTCATTTCACTTAACATTCCCACAGGCTAACAGCAGACAATCACACCAAGTGTTGGTGGACAACCCAGCTGCGCACCTCCACTGGACCGCTCACTTAGAGTTCACTCAGAACAAATCTGTTGATGAACTCACCTGGGATAAGATCAGTCCTCTCATCCCTAAATCTGACAAGGTTTGTACTGTTTCAAGAAATGATTATTCTAAAAACTTTCAATCACGTGGTTTCACCAAAAGTGTGCCATTTTTGTAGCAACAATAAAATCTTAAGGTAAAAAGGATCTTAGACGCATTAAATGTTCTCGAGGCCCTATAGGTTTCTAGGTGAAAGCTTATCTTTCCAGAAATTAATTAACAAGCCGTTATTAACTAATTGTCACAGTGCAGTAATTGCAGCAATTGACTAGTGAAGCAATGTGTTTGTTATGTTTCTAGGCCTCGATACAAAAATGATTCATACCTTTAGCCATTTTAAAAACTTTTGCAACGCTTTCTGGGGAGATATCTCCTGGATCACTATTATTTCTTCATAAACCAATGAGTGTGACGTGTGTGCCAGTAACTGTGCGATAGTGCTATACCCACCCATGATTTAACGTAACGCGCACAATTTCTTTGAAGGCATACATCAACTTTCCACGCACGTTTTTTCACCTAATTTTATAGATTGGAATACCACGATCATCAAGCCAAAATAGAACGGAAGCGAGCAGATCGTGCCTCTGTTGTGTCTTTACTTGTGTGGTATGCCAAGCTACATAATCAGCAATTACTGCAGTCTTGATAGTTAATGATAATTACATTCCAGGTTCACTGTTTGATAAAACAAGGAATTCCACACATTATGAGATGTAAGCTGTGGGCCCGAATATCCGGCTCAATGTCCAAGTCTATCAAATCAAACCTGTCCTACAAGGTAACTGGGGTGGGGCTGTGTAATAGTAGTTGCTAATTCTATGCTAATTAAAATAATTATTGCTTACATTGAAACATTTGTTGTGCCAGTTGACCTAAATGAAACCTCTGCTCCCCGGTAGGAATGCCACATTTCCACCGCAATTCCCAAAACTACTAATAAGTAATTAACTTTATTTATCTTTTTATTAATTAATTCACCAAGATAATATTCGCCCAGGATATTCTTCACAACTGCTGGGATGAAGACACAGTTACAACTCGTATGATTGAACGAGATCTTGTCAGAACCAGTACGAACAACGTTTTCTTCCAAACAATAAACGCCAGCGGGGTCAACAGACTCAGGAACGTGCTGAGGGCTATCTCGTGGTTATTTCCTGATATTGGGTTCGTTCACTTGAGTTATTTATTTTCCAGACCAATCGTTTGGGCCAAACCCTGCGATACGTTTTTTAATTAATTTTTACCATTACCTTTTATATCTTTTATTTCTAAAAGTTCCGAGGTTTTATAAAATATTCAAAGTCGTAATGACTAACTAATTTTAGCCACTCTGTGTAATCAGCCAATACTTATTTTATACAGGTACTGTCAAGGAATGGGTATGGTTGTGTCGACCCTCCTTCTAATTCTGGAAGAGGGTGAAGTGTTCTGGCTTCTCAGCTGCATCATTGAGGACCATCTTCCTTCACATTATTACAACACTAACCTCTTCGGAATCCAGGTATTTCCTCCTAGGATTTGCTTTTAGGGTTTGGAAGTCAGAATTCATGATCCATCTCCCGCGAAAATAAGAAATTAATATGAAATTAAAATTTAAGCCAGATAATAAATAAACAATTGAACATTGTCCACTTGTCCAGGTGGATCAGGCAGTGCTGGTAGAGCTAGTTAAACAGTACCTCCCTGACCTCCACGATCACTTTGAGGCTCACAACGTGGAAATAAACCTCATTACCCTCAACTGGTTTCTAACTCTCTACAGCGCTGTCTTAGCGCCCAGGATAACCCTACGGTAGGTGTCACGTGGTGTGAGCGTGACGTCACGTGGTTTGAGAGTGACGTCACGTGGTTTGAGAGTGACATCACGTGGTGTGAGGGTGAATTCACGTGGTTTGAGAGTGACGTCATGTGACCTAGTGGGAGTGACGTCATGTGACCTAGTGAGAGTGACGTCACGTGGTGCGAGGGTGATGTCACGTGGTGAAATAGCACTTTCATTGGAAGGGTCTATCCACAATTTACGCTTACCACATAAGGGGGAGTGTGGTTTGGGGTGATATGGGCAAACAGAGAGGGAGTTGGAAAATAGATTAAAATTGGGTGCACTTTTATAGAGCTGGAATGTGTATGTACAACTGTATGATTTAAAGCAGCATAGCACTAATTCTTTTGATTCCGTAACTTTATCGATAAAAAACGTGACATTCATGTATCCTGACATGTTCGTGAAATGATTCTCTTTGATTTTCAGTGTCTGGGATTGTTTTTTGTATGAAGGATCGATCCTTCTCTTTCGCATAGCACTGGGTGTCTTGTCCATCAACAAAGACTTAGTCCTGTCCCAGGAATCTAGCGAAGGAATTTTTACCGAGGTGGGTTATAAGTATAAGCTAAAATATTTGTATGTATTATGCAGACCGTCAACAAGCTGCGCCTATTGAATCTTTGTACTCGCAGATATTTGTGATACTAGAATATTATTAATTGTACATTTCGTGTTAATAGTTGGTGGAAGATTGTAAATACAGCACACAATGGTTTGTTACAGTTGTTGTGCCAGTTTAGCAATGTGTAAGGGCTGCATTGCAGACTACCCTGCACGTTGTTACTTGTATATCATATTCAATATTATTTGTGTTTAAGAAGGAGATTTTCTTTTCTTTGTCGCATAATAGCACCTCAAAAGCATAATTATAATTATTTAATTAATTATTTAATAGATGTGGATTCTCGTGAGGAGGGGAGGTACATTTGTTTACTTTTACATGGAGGCTCTGCTCAGCAGGATCAAGAGGTGATGCACATGGTAAAGTAAACAAATGTACCTCACCTCCCCCACGAGAATCCACATCTATATTTCTTATGTTATTCTGTTAATAATTTGTGTAATTTTGTACCAGTTTTAATACATTTTCTCAGTTATCAAACGCCCCCTCACACATTGAAGACGTAGAACAGTTGATAGTACATTCCTATGAGATAACTGAGACTTTAACTGACAATGTGCTCCAGGAAATGAGGTAAAAATAGGAACATTTTAGGAAAGATTACTTTTATTGTGATCCCTGAAAAGTATCATTTGAATAATTAATTCCATTCTTACCGTGTGAGTATGCATGTTAACTGTTAGTTAACTCCATAATACACCAATAGGCAATATAACCCTGATATAAATCTACCTTTTTAAACATGTTACTTTGATCAGCTTGAATAATTTGTAACGGTCTGGCAAATATTACCCACTCCCTCAGAACGGAGGCAGCTGCTAAGCTAAGCTCAGCAGTGAACGCCCTTGGTACCCCTTATAACCCGCGACCCAGCGAACAAGCTCGCAGACTAGGCGAGGCTAAGGCGTCTTGGTTCTCGTGAGTAAACCTTTTTGATCTCAAAATTAGAATCCAATGAATAACACAAAAAACCTGATATAACTTCTAGATTATCATCACTGCTCGATTCTAGCTTCCCTTTGTTCCCAGGCAATGGTTTGGGTATGGTGGAAGCGTGAGTGACAAAGCCAAGAACATCGCTCAAACAGAAATGCTTGAAGATCTCCGGAAGAACATTGCAGCTATTGTCAAGCACTTTGGTGGGGACACCCGGCTGGATGTCAGTCCTGATTACTCATTCGAGTCTCATCAGCGAGACATTGAGAACTTCAAGGAGTTTAGCCGGAACAGGCCCCTCAGAGCTCGTGCTCTCATGGATTTCGAGAGGCATGACGACGACGAGTTGGGTTTCTGTAAGAACGACATCATAACGGTCCTGAACCAGAAGGACGAGCACTGCTGGTTCGGCGAGGTAGGGGGTGTGCGCGGCTTCTTTCCCGCCAAGTTCGTGCTCCTGTTGGACGAGAGGAGCAAGTTATACGCTATAGAAGGGGATGATCGGGTTAGCAACGAGATCACCACGCTAGTGAGGGGGAACTTGTGCACAGCTCTGAGGAAGATATTCGAGCACGGTTTGAGGAGGCCCTCAGTGTTGGGTACTGCTCTCCATCCTTGGCACTTTGTCGAAGACTCTATAGACCACGAGATAAAGGAGCAGTTTACTCAGATCCTGGGCAGATTGGTTCTGTGTAAAACATTTCGACTGGATGAGGAAAAAAAGTTGCTGCAGCCTAACGAGATGCTGTTCCGGGCCATGCACCTGATAAACGCCAGCCATGACCCCCTGAACATTAGTGCGGACGTAAAGCTGCGCTCCCTGATCTGTGCGGGCCTGAACGAGCAGTGTCTGCACATGTGGTTTGCCACGTTTTGTCAGTGTACGGAGGTGACCGAGCGCTGGTACGCTCCCTGGTCCTTCATACGGTCCCCTGCTTGGTTCCAGATAAAGTGCGAGCTCAGACTGCTCTCCAAGTACGCCTTCAACCTGAGTTTGGATTACGAGGTTAATCCCAGCTCACACACGGAGCCAGTCAAACAGGATGTCCAGGACATGCTCATAAAACACCATCTCTTCAGTTGGATGTCATGATCTCACTGTTTAGCATCATCTCTTCAGCTGGATGTTTTACCATCGACTGGCCCGCCGTTTGCAACAAAGTTGGTCGTGGACATTGGACCTGTTATTAAAGACATCAATCCTTTCGTACTACTGTTAAACTGTGTTGATTTCTCGAACACGTATGTACTACAATAATATCCAATCGGCAAATAAAGATAAATTTATCTATCACCTTGTAAAATTTTGATGAGAATGGTTGTAAAATCTCTGGAATTGGATAATTTGGACGATAAAAGATTGAGTGATCATAAAATGCTGGTTCTATAAAAAATGTCTGTCTGTTTATTTTTGCAGTATTCGTCCGGGATCGGACTTTTGACTGCAATTTGAAATTTCATTCCAATATGGGTTCGTTCACATAATATAACGTTGACCAGATTTTGGCCATATCACTTTTTTCACATAGAAACAAATATTCTTACCAATTAGTTAGCTTACAGTTAAGTAATTTATGAACGTTCCCTATGAAATCTGGTGCGATTGTACACGGAATTTAGCTACTCACCGTTTTTAATCGAATGTAGCATAATTCATTACATTTTGTAAAATATTTGATAGTTTATGAATAATTTTATTGATTTTCAGCTTTCGCTCTTTTGAGTGGGTTGATCTTAATGAGATGAGGTTCTAAGGTACAGACTTTCCAGTGAAATAAACTGAGTTGAAGATTTCGTCTTCATTGACAAAAATTAGAATCATTTTACAAATACTGGTGCCAACATTCAAGTTGATTACTGAATAATGAGTAGCTGATTAGTGAATAATGACTTAAGTAAAAATGAATTACCAGCCTATACTAATATAATGAGAAATGAACTGTCCCGTTAAATTTTGTTTTACAATTTGCGTTTAGTGTGTACATTATTTGTATTTAAATGTATTATTATTGTTAACATTACTTCATAATTGTAACAGAGGTTTAAACCAATTGATCGAGCAATTAAGCGATATTTGATTTGATCTGCAAAGGAATTATTAAATACAACTGTTAATTGGAGATATTGATTGATGAATTTGTTATATTAGAAGTCGTATTAGAATTTTGGGTACGTAACTTAATCGTTAAAAGGGACAATATAACTAATCTTATGGTTATTATATAAACTAAAACTGCATAGACCAAGTTCCGTCAATACCAAAGTAATCAGGCCGGCCCTGTTACCAAACTTAATTAACTAGCAGAGTTAAAAAGTAACAATCAAGTAAAAGTAGATACCCATTTATAAATACATGTTTAATGTTTTACAGCACGTAGTTATGTATATTAATATTATTATGATATTAATCTGGTTGTTTAGTCACTAATATGATTTGTAGGATTTGGCCGTTGTGTAAAATCTTTTAGCGCAACTAAGGGGAATATCAATGCGGGATTCCGATTATATGTTGTATCTTTGTTTTCAAACTTAACTTATTTATTGAATGAACACGAAAATGACCCGTGAAAATTATTTGACTTGTAAAATGTGACATGATAATTATTTGACTTGTAAAATGCAACTGTAAAAAGTTCATCGTTTGATTTTGACTGAGTTTCAAATTATTTGACTTGTAAAATGCAACTGTAAAAAGTTCATGATTTGATTTTTTGACTGAAAGTTTGAAATTCCCATTCTTACCGCTATAACATTGTTGATTGTTAATTGTAATAATTTTCGGGTGCTGATTTAGCTTTTTTCCTTGTTATCAAATTTCAAATAATTGAATGAAATTAAAGTATTTTAAAGGTAGACTTTTGTATTGTACGACAGAATATTCGGAAAAAAAATTTTAAAATTTGAAATATCCAATCCCATGGCACTCAAAACTAGTTCTGCAGTAAAACACTAATTAACTGTACATAGCATGCCTAGAAAACAGCAATTCAGCAGTAAACAAAAGAAACAGCAGCTGCAGGATAAGAGGAAACGTAAACAGGTTTGGGACTTCAAGTTTTCTCTCAGTTTTGTTTTCAAACACACGAAAATGTTTTAATTGTTTTTTTTTTTTTTTTTTTTAATATGGGCTCCCATATTTTCGTTTCAATCCCAAAAAATTACTTTGTCTAATCTTTCTCTAAAGTACGATTTTGGGTCTCTCGATTTTGAGGAGAAAAAATTTTCAGAATGAACCTGCCAAGTTTGGTCTCGATAGTGATGACGATAATTCAGAGAAGAAGAAAGAGGAGACGGAGTTAAGTAATTCTACTGAGGAAGAGAGAAGACTAAATACTCAGCCTGTAGGTAGTAGAGGGTCCGTGTCATCCCAGACCTTTGTAGACCCCTTTATAATTTTACCCTGTGTAGGATACTTCTTACCTTGTGTAGGATACTTCTTACCTTGTGTAGGATACTTCTTACCTTGTGTAGGATACTTCTTACCCCGTGTAAGATACTTCTTACCCTGTGTAGGATACTTCTTACCCTGTGTAGGATAGATCTTACCTCGTAATTTTTTCTAAGGTGGCTACAATCTACATTTGTAATGTTTAACTTTCCTACACATGTCAGTATATCACATATTAAATTCTACCGCGATTTGGGAATTATTACTTAGCATATACTATATAATTAATAATTAGCATATACTATATAATAATTAATTAGCATATACTATATAATAATTAATTAGCATATACTATATAATAATTAATTAGCATATACTATATAATTATTACTTAGCATATACTATATAATTATTAATTAGCATATATAATATAATAATTAATTAGCATATACTATATAATTATTAATTAGCATATACTATATAATTATTACTTAGCATATACTATATAATTATTACTTAGCATATACTATATAATTATTAATTAGCATATATAATATAATAATTAATTAGCATATACTATATAATTATTAATTAGCATATACTATATAATTATTACTTAGCATATACTATATAATTATTAATTAGCATATATAATATAATAATTAATTAGCATATATAATATCACATTTGACCGTCTCGTTACACGATGTTAGCACCAGGGGGTCCTTTCCGAAAAAATGCTTAAGTACAAAATGTAACTTAAGTTTTTGCACTTAAGTATTTATACTGTTCGGAAAGGACCCCCCAGATCAACTATTCAGTAGTATTAATACTGGTAATAATGTAACGTATACTAAACAATATTGATAGGTAATACGATAACGAAATTATCCTGCCGTATTACGTGTTCATGAAAAGTATTATATAACACAGAGTTATCACGTGACCTGCTAACGTTATCACGTGACCTGCTAACGTTATCACGTGACCTGCTAACGTTATCACGTGACCTACTAACGTTATCACGTGACCTACTAACGTTATCACGTGACCTACTAACGTTATCACGTGACCTGCTAACGTTATAACTTGACCTGCTAACGTAATCACGTGACCTGCTAACGTAATCACGTGACCTGCTAATGTTATCACGTGACCTGCTAACGTTATAACTTGACCTGCTAACGTTATCACGCGACCTGCTAACGTTATAACTTGACCTGCTAACGTAATCACGTGACCTGCTAACCTTATCACGTGAGCTGCTAACGTTATCACGTGAGCTGCTAACGTTATCACGTGACCTGCTAACGTTATCACGTGACCTGCTAACGTAACCTATCTTTATCGTTACATGAGGTCTGTATTAACCCCGTATACGCCGGCACCCTGTTGTTCTGACTCTAATATTACATACATTGACTACAAACACGGGAAAATGTTTGTTCCTCTTGACTTATTATGTTCAGTCAAGTGTAAACATTATCTTAACGGGAACTGATTGAGACAAGATGGCTACGATGATTGAGGCGCACTGCGAATTATAGATTTATTTACCTCACAGACCATAGTAATACTAGTAATACTAGTTTGATACACTCATATAGTTTGTAATTAATAACATAAATATTATATACTATTAGTATATAATATTTATGTTATTAATTACAAACTATATGAGTGTATCAAACTTTAACCTCGAGATTGGGCATTAGAGTTATAGGCCGAGATTGATGGAATAATCTATGATATTATTTTACCGAAACCCAAAATTTGGTAGAGTGGACCCGACCGTCGCCAAGAAATAGTATACACACAATATAATTGATTTTATTGAAAGACTGACTTTTTAAGCAAATTAAAAAATAATAATAAGATACACAATAATACTACACTAATCACATAACACTTTAATCACATAACACTAATCACATACCACTAATCACATAACACTAATCACATAACACTAATAATCTCGGATAACACTAATCACATAACACTAATCACATAACACTAATCACATAACACTAATCACATAACACTAATCGTATAACACTTCCCAACACTTCAAAGCTTCATAAACATACTGATTTGTTATACTGTCCTAAATGAAAACCAATCATCCATATTTACAAAGTCCGTGCCAAAGTCATTTGTAGCAGCACCACCCCGGTAAGCACCAATACTGGCACGAACCCTCTCAGGGGTTTCCCTGGCAACCAAGATCCTATAAGAGTAGGCAGACCAAAAAAGTAGCGTAGAGATCCGGACTTGGTGATAAAGTAGGTGATTGTTATGATAAGGACTGAGGTCATGATAAGCATTACCGGAAACGATCGGAGGTAAGGGACCCAAAGAGCTCCTGAGGCGATCCCAACTAAAAGTTGTTGATGAATCAGATAGAAAGGCATGGCCATAACTCTGCATTTCTGGTGCCAATCTTGAGGGGTAGTGAACGTTTCTCTCGCTAATGCTATAGACCCGATGATAAACAGCCACTGTCCTAAACCTCTCGTGAATCCACCTATTAAACTTATTATAAAACGAGTTTTATCAGTGTATGCGCCATGGATGACCATGCTTATTAAATTTGTGGACACCTGTTTTTTCTCAATTTCTTTACCGTAAATAACCATGCCGACTCCAAACACTGAACAAAGAACTGTTCCAACCAAGAAGCAACTCCAGGACCAAACCTTGCTGCGTTGTCTGATCTCTCTCTCCGCCGCTGCTGTAGCGTAACCCATCAAGTAGATGACCAAGTAAGATAAAATAGGATAGTTTGGGAAGTAAACATCGTAAAGACGGTGACCTGACTCCACAACTCCTATCACTATCCCTGGTATGAGAGCAAGCCTGATTGGTCCACCCAGATACCACTTTACTGCAGAAGCGAATTCTCTAGGAGTTAAAGCTGGCTTGAGGATGAAATTCAGACAGCAGAAGTACTGAGTGAGCCGGCTAAATGGTTTCACTGTGCAGCAGCAGGAGTTGGAGCCACAAAATGAGAGTGTGGTGGTCTCATCAGTGTTGTGAGCTGGATGAAACGTTCTGAACCAGAAGGTGGATACTTGGGCGTAGATGAAGAGGTACAAAAGAAACCATGACTGTTGAAAGTGTGGATGTATATAGAAGCCTTTCACGTACTCCCAATATGATTCCTCGACTAGAGGAACCTCGCGACGAGCAAAGTAAGCAAGGGTGAGAGGAAGCTCAGTAACCGCACAAAGAAACAGACTTGGAACCAGGAGCCGGTGTACTCTCTCGCCCCTGAACTGAGTCTCCGATCTCCGGAACAGAGCAGAGTAAGTGTTCTGCCCGGACAGATAGAAGAACATGGGCATGTTCCAAGCTTGCATGAACCCAACGAACCAATGTACGATGACTCCGAGGTAGATGGGGGTGAAAGGATCATCAGACGTAGAAGTCGTTATCAAGCCTGGGTAACGGACTTCATGATACCGTTCCTCTGCTGGCGACGAAGATGGCGTGTACATTTTACAGATATGGAACAAGTAAATACCGTAAGTTAGGACTATCATGATCACATCAATATCTGCTCTTCTGCCTGACGGTTTGTGATCCTCTTCTAGACACCTTTCATCGTCTTTAGAACTCTTGGAGAGGATGTAGCTGGTCTCTGTAGCCATTCAAAATTGGATTCGTAACTGGGATCGATTCAACCATCTACAGGGGCCGGGGGTGATTCTGTCATCTCAAAATAGTGTAGTTTTAGAATTATCGAAGAATTTTTACGTTGATAATGGTATAACTATAATACTAGGGAATGGTATAGCAGGGAAATGACGTATTTTTCCACTCGAGTATGGTCACAATTGTATTCGAAATTATACTACAGGATAGAATGGAGAGCAATTCCACGTTAAGGTACCTCTTGGTGACAATGAAAAATGTTTAAACAGGCACCTAATTTTGGTGAAAATATGTTTTTTAGACTCTTAACCTTACTGGTCAATCAAAGTTTTTTGTTTGATATTGCGTTAAATTGCAATTTTTCTCATTCAAAATTGCAAGACTCAAAAATGAATAAAATTATCTAAATTTTCAGATGCCCATAGTTTGGATATGCAGCAATGTTTGTCTATGAAATTCCATACACTGAAGCATGGGTACAATAGTTAGACTGCTGCTCATATACTTTTTATGAAAAATCTCAACAAAGATGGTGTTGTGTCTGTCACAAAATTAAGCGAACAAGTTTATTCAGATCCATATTGTGCCATTTATATTCAAAAAACCAATGTAACCTATCTCTTTTGAAGGCAAGGGAGTTTCATCAAAATTATTAGGATCATATCTTTTAAGGAACAAATTTTAAAAGGGAGGTCCTAACTACTCCCAACTTGTCACGTCTGTCATATTTTTTTGAAACAGTTTCCAAAAAATCCAAAAATGCATTTTTGTTGAAGCTGAGACCGTCCTGAACAAAAAAATGTCTTCAAATCAAAAATGTGGATAGAAAATGACTGAGTTATGCATAATTTTGTAGGTATATGGCCGTAAGGCTCAATTTTGGCTATTTTTACCATTGTTCCATATTATGTCGAAATGATACGTTATTAATGATATTTCAGTGGGCGAAACTTTTACAATTCTGAGAATAAACTATGGGCGACAGTCTTAAAATTTTCTTAAAGTTTTGCTAGATCACCTCTCCGGTCTTTCTGCCAGTAAGAGTGAAATATATATCAGTACGAGGTCTTACTCTTATAATGTACGAGCCACGAGGTCGAGGAATCTAATCACAACACAATTACATGACCGGGTGAAGGAATATTGTTATTGATCACGTATTTCTACGGAAATGTTATGGTGTACGAGGTCGAAAACATTTTACTCACTAGCCAGGGTGATATTAGGAAGCGAATTACAGAGTTTATTTTTTTACTTTTGACTATCGTTTGTACGAGAAAATATGATTTAAAATGGAAGTGCG